ACCAAAACTTCAGATGCAGCTTAAAAGGTTCTTAGAAATGCAGTCTTGGGGCCAGCAGGAGTAGTGGTTGTTAAGGGCACTGGACTCCCACATGGCTGACCGCGGTTTGAGCCCTGGACCTGGCAGCCTGCTTTCTCGTTCCCGACTCTCTTTCACTCTCTCACTCTATCCCTCTCGGGTCAAGTTAAAATAAGTAAAGAGAATAAATAAAGTTAAATAAAACAATTCTTAAAAAGAAAGAAAGATGCAGAGCCTTTAAATGCTTAAAGTTCTTCAAAAATTAAGGATCTAAGGATTCAACTCAAGAAGTTAGAAAAAGAACAATAGAAGCCAAAAAAATGTTTTTAACATAAAAAAAAGGAAATGAAAAGAATCAAATCAATTAAATGAAAAATAATGATATAACAGGATCAATAAAGCCAAGGGCATATTCTGTGGAGAGAAATTAACACAATATATAAAAATATTTAGCAAGACTGATTTCGAAAAAAAAGAAAGTTATTTTAAAAAGCCTGTGATCAAAAGAAGGCAACACGTACTCAGAAAGATTCCTTTAAAAAGAAAAATAACACTGTAAACAAGTTTATGCCCACAAGTGTCAGATTTTAGACAGACTTGAAGATTTTCTAGACAAACTTGCCAAGACAGATACCAGGAATAAACAAGCCAACCAACTACAGAAGATCTGAGTAGAGAGAGAACTATTGAAGACTCAAACTCCGTCATTTCAAGTCTCTCGGACAACAGAAACAAATCTCCTGCACACTCTTCCAGAAAATGGAAAAACAAGATTCTTCGGCTCATTTTCTGAGACTGATGGGAAGTGAGCAGGACTGTGGGTAACACATACAAGGACTGAAGATAAGAATCTCAAGGTTTCACAAACCTGTAAAGAAAAAGGACCAAAGAATTATCACAGGATGAAGACAGTACTCACGACCGCATGGATCTTCAAAGCCAACACAGAATAAACACAACAGTTACCATCTAAACACTTGTTTCATTAAAGGCCTTTTAGATTACAGTTCATGGGTGCTGATTATGTAAGAGGTACTGTTTCTATAAGCCCATGCAATCAGAAGCAGTAGCTCCCGCATGCATTCCATGTAGAGTATCTTAGTCTGTTCCTGCTGCTATAACAAAATACCTTCAATACAGACCAGCAGATGGCATAATGGTTACATCGCTGGAGTCCCACAGTCAACCACGGTTCAAGTCCCGGACCCGGCAAGCATGTGTGCATGCATTCCCAGGATCCTGAGAGGAGAATGGAGGAAAGGGGATTGCGCCATGGCCAACCCCCTAGGGGCGATTTCTCGCCTTCTGTCTTTCTGTCTCTCTCTGTGTCTCTGGCCAGAACATGTGCCCTATAGCAAAAATCTCTCTTTAAAAAAATACCTTCGACTGAGTAATTCATAAACAAGAGAAATGTATTTCTCACAGTTTGGGAAGCTGGGAAGTCCAAGGTCAAGGTGCCAGTAGATCCAGTGTCCAGTGAAGGCTGGCAGAGATGCTGCATAGGTGGCACTTCCTTAGTGTGTCATCGACAGCAGAAGAATGGAAGGGCAGACAGGGATTATCTCCAAGCCCTTCCCCCCCTTCATACCCCATATACCTTATCGTTCAAAATTAAAACACAACGGTATTGAGAAACTTTACTAAATCTCATAATATAATAGACTGACCCTTCTCTGGATAAACAGCAATCTAAAATAAACCTTCTCTAGAAGCAGACAAAATGAATAAATAGTACCTGAACTAAGATTCGATTTTGTTGTTTTAATTTAATTCAAAGCTTTGCCACAGCTGAGGTTGATCCAAATCCTGCCGTACTGATTTCTACCAAGCCAAACGTGGGGGAACAGGCAGCAAACTTCACAGTCGAACACACTGCCTCGTGAGCCATGAAGTCAGCCATGTGAGACCCAGCCAGCTTCACCTCTGTTCCTCCTGCTGGCCCACAGCAGCTTTCTTTTCTTTTTTTTTTTTTTTTTTTTTCCCTCCAGTTTTCAGTTGTTTTTTTTTTTTTATTTTTTTTTATTGTTGTTTTATTTTGTTTTCCTGTATTCCTGTAGGGCATTTGTACTCCCCAGAGAGAGAGAGAGAGAGAAAGGGGAAAAGAAATCACTCACAGGGGATGGGCGAGGGCGTGGGGAAGTGGGGGGATGGCTACACTGCAATTCCTTCTCCTCCATTCTCCTCCTGGGACTTTGGCCACACATTGCAAATGTACCCAGTGTGTTTCTTAACCCGTCGGGTCCAGGACTTGAACTACAGAGTCAGCCATGTGGCATCCAGCACTTTAACCATCACACCACCTGCTGACCCCAGCAGCTATTATTCTTAGTAGCCAAAAAGTGCGAACAATTCCAATATCCATCAACTGGTGACGAAGTAAACTAAATGTGGTATGCCCATACAATCACGTTAGTCATTAAAAAGAAATAAAATCCTGACACACGCTACAACATGAATAAACCTTGAAAGTATTATGTTAAATGAAATCAGCCAGACACCAAAGGTCACACATTGTGTGATTCTACTCGAACGAAATGCTCCAAGCAGGAAAACTCATAGAGACATAAAGCAGATTAGGGCTGGGGGGGCGTGCGGACTGTCCGCGGCACAGGGTTCTTCTGGAAGTGATCTAAACTGACGATGCTGATGGTGGACATACTGAGAACCCTCTAGGTCATAGACCACATCTTTTTTTAACGTTTTGCTAGAGGATGCATGTACTCACCAGAGACAAAGAGAGAGACAGAGGAAAGTGAGAAATCACTCCCCCTCCTGGGAGGGGATGGCCATGTGCAATCCCTTTTCCTCCATTCTCCTCTTGAGATGTAGGGCATGTACACCTACTCACCCAACATGATTTTCAAGTCACAGGGTCCAGGATTTGAACTGTGATGTCAACCATATGGGATCCAGCCTCCTTAACCTCCACACAGCATGCCAGCCCTACCAAATGTGTTTTAGGTTTATTTATTTCTTCTAAGAACAAGAGAGACAGAAAGAGAGTACACTTAGCAGTGCCTGGATGCCACAATCCACCCCCAGCTTCAGCTGGCTCCACATCATGGGCACACACAAGTCCTGAGTACCCAGGGAGGGCTCCTTCAGTGAATCCAGAACTTTCTCAAGTGAGTCAGCCTCGCAGAGCAGCACACTCCCGCCGAGCCACTGTCCAACCCCAGAATCATATTCTTCAAATGAGCAAATTAGATGGTATATGAATTGTATCTCAATAAAACTATTAATATAAAAAATGCATAAAGGGTCAGCCCCATTGCCTGGTGGTTAAGGCAGCTGGATCCCACACAACTGACCCCATGGTTCAAGTCCCAGACCTAGTGACTTGAAAAACGGCCAGGTACATGTGTATGCATGCCCAAGATCCCGAAAGGAGGGAGAGACGGAGTAAAAGGGGGTTGCTTTCTCCTCCTCCTCTCTGTCTCTCTCTGGTGAGTGCACACACACCCTCTTGCACACACACACACACAAAGTATAGATGGGGTCTGGCGATTGGGCAAGTGTGCACTTGCTGAAATTTGTGTCTCTGAGGAAAAGCGAATGCACATTTCCAGCAGCGAGTCTCAGCTGACAGGACACTGTCATCAGTTACAACCCAAAATGGCTGTACACGCAACGTCCCCACAGCTCTTCAACAGACTCTCCCTCCAAGCCCGCCACCACCATCATCTGACCATGAACTGTTTCAGAAGTCGTTCGAAAACCACTAAAGGTGCCCTTTTGTCATTAGTCAGAAGGGTTCTGAGAAGTCCCAAAGTCCTCTCTTTCATTTAATCGATGGGGAAGGGAAGGCCCAGAGAAGGGTTAACGATCTATGGCCAAGAGTCACCAGCACGTTTCTGGGGACGCTGGGACTAATGCGCTTTTGGAACCTTGCTCTTCTCTTCCTACAGTTTTTCGCAGGGTTTCCATGTCCTCAAACTGGCCTTCCCAGCACGGGCAGGAACTGAACACCTCACAGCCTCACATCTATGCCAGGCCACGAGCGGGAGCTAGCAGGGGTGAGGAGGGCACTTTCCGGCAGAGGGGAGGCACAGCTGAAAGGAAATCATGGGGCCACCTTCTGAGAAGGCAGGGTGGGCCGTGTTCCAGTAAGAGCAGGGACACAGGGAGAGAATGAGGGATGACCCTTGAGACGTGACCCAAGATGCGGTGTCACCTGTGGTCTGAGGTCTGTGGCTATTTGTTCCCATCACGTACACAGTTGGAGGTGAGAACAGGGCCCCCACTAACCCAGTTACCCCCACCTCAGAACCAGTGTGATTTTGCCCCCCAGAAGTGGCCTTCTGAGTCACTCAACCCATGGAAACCTCACCCCTCCCTGACTTCAGACAAGGCAAAGGGCGAGGAAGACCCGGGCCTCTGGTCCCACCTATTCTCAGCAATGCCTACAGCTCGGGCCGGACTGGGGGCTGGTGCAGAGGCCACTAGCTCTCCTCCCAAACTGGGGTGGGGCGCAGTAAACATGTTTGGGGTCCAGAGTCTGAGCTGGGGTGTAGATGCGGCAGGAAGTGGGCAGCAGGGTTTAGCACTGTCTTTGTTCTCTCCCCTGCTCAGAGACAAGGGAATGGTCATGGCTGCCCGCATGAAGCGAGGGCCGGGCATGTCGTGAGCACGTTACACGCTACTGATGTACCTCGCCTTCGCAGCAACCCCTGAGGGTCTACGTTATCAACCTACTTTTAGAGGAGGAAACTGAGGCACAGAGAGGCCACACAGCTAGGGCACAGCCAGGCCAGGCCTACCCTCCCAGCTCCTGACATCTTACACAGGTGACAGGCAGGAGGCAGGATGGCCCCGCTGGCCTGCGCATCAGCCCCAGAGCTGAACCACTTCGGCAGATGCGCCCCTGGCCTTCCAGCTGGCTTCCTGAGGGCTGTCAGCTGGGCCGGATGAGGAGGTGCTGACAGGGTGGGTGCTGGTGGGAGGCGGGAGCTCGAGGGCCTTGAGACCACATTTGAGGGCGGAGCAGGAAGCAGGTGATCAGCGGTCCAGGGGACGAGCAGTGGGGCAGGCCGCGTGGGGGGCTGCACCACCATTTCAGGAGCCTCTGGTGGGGAGAGGCATCTGGGCAGAAGCTTCTCCACACAGGACTCCAGGTAGGAGGGAAGCAGGGACTGGGGAGGCCAGGCCCTGGGCAGGAGGGAGTGGGTGGGTCAGACCATGGGGAGAGAGCTTGATGGAGCAGGAAGTGCCGTGGCCTGTAAGACAGGAGATCTGAGTTCCAGACCCTGCTCTGGTGCTGATGCTCTGGACAGCCCGAGCCCACCCTGGGCCTCAGTTTCCCCAACCATAAAACGAAGAGGTTAGGGTACATGGCCTCTAAGGCCTCTTCAAGTGCCCGCAGTTAAAGCTTCTATAAAGCTCGGGATCAGCAGGTGGTGTGGTGGTTAAGGGCGCTGGAGTCCCACATGGCTGACCATGGTTCAAATCCTGGACCTGGAGGCTTGCTTTCTCACTTTCCTTCTCTCTCCCCTGCCCCCTCAGGTCAAATCTAAATAAACAAATAAAGTTAAAATAATTATTAAAAAAAAAAAAAAAAAGCTTCTAAAAAGCTGGAATCAGGCTTCCTGAGAGTTAATACCCTGAGGCCGGGATGAGGATGGAGTTCCCTGGATCAAGTCATGATCCCTGTGCTGCATCCTAAGTGGGTGATCCATAGGTCTTTGGGGGATTCCCTTTCCCTCCTGGGGCCTGCCACGTCACCTGGAACTCACTGCTCACCCTCCAGGCAGGGCACAGCAGGTGCCAGCTCTCCACGGCACCATCTGGGAGACTGCTGCCACAGAGGCGGTGGGAGTGGGGTGGCCTCCAAGGAGCTCGGTTTGGATGGGGTACCCGGGGCACTCCAGATCATAAGCAAGTGTAGGTGAGGCCTCAGAGCCACCTCAAAATAGGGAAGAACCTTCTAGGCCATTCCAGAGTGGGGCAGGGAATGTCAAAGAGGAGACCTGAGCACTCGGAGGAAGTCGGTCGAATCCAAGCTCCAGAGCCTCCACACAGGCTCTCGGGGTTGCACGTGTCTCGGCAGTTTCGCCCTGGAGTTCAGACTGATCCCCCTCCACGAGGCTCTGAGGGAGGGGTCCGAAGGGCAAATGGGGAGAATAGAGATGATACGTGGCCTTGTCTCTTTCCCAGTTCTCTTCAAGACTTAGTGAGAGAGAGATTAGAGATAGAGGTAAATACAGAGACACAGGCAGAACGAGAGTCAGGGTGAGGAACAGGTGGTCTGTTCTGGGGCTAAAAATAAGACTTCTCCAGAAGCCAGGCTTCCTTAGGTCCCCAGACCCCTCCCCAAACCTGCTACTCTGTCCCTTCTTTGCTGATCAGAGCCCCCGCCCCACCAGCGGCTGTTATGTCCAGGGGACAGAGTTACCAGTGTGAATCCCCATTAGGCCTTAGACAGTGAAATCCTGGCAGAGGGCTCCTCTTGGCTGTGTGACCTTGGACAAGTCACACCCGTCTCTGGGCCCATCTGCGCAATGTAGGCTGGGCTAGGCCTGTAAAGACCACTGCAGCTCTGGTGTTCAGTGACTTAGATAAGCCAGCCCCCCCCACCACCTGCTAATCCAGTGTGAGTGCTAATCCAGTGTGAGTAAAGCCAGCCATCCTCTGCCTTCTGCCTACAGCTTCTCAGAGGCCAGTCACCTATCTGCAGCTCCATGGCCGCCAGCCGGCTCCTCCTGGGCACACTTCTCCTGCTACTGCCCTTGCCTGTCCCGGCCCCCTGCCACACGGCCACACGCTCAGAGTGCAAGAAGACCCACAGCTTTGTGCCCGGTTATGAGCTGGCTGGGGGAGGTGTGGATGTGACCAGCCTGCGCCACTCAGGCTTCTACCCTGTGGACACGCGTAGGTACCTGCGGCCCGACGGCACCTGCACCCTCTGCAAAAACGCCCTACAGCAGGACGCGCTTCAACTCCTGCCCCTGGCGCTCACCGACTGGCGTGCCCAGGGCTCTGGCTGCCAGCGCCAAGTGGTCAAGGGCAAAGCCAGCTCCACAGAGGCCGTGGCCCGGGAGGCTGCGGGCAGCATCACCAACAACTGGCAGGTCGGGCTGGATGTGACTCCCAAACCCAGCAGCAACGTGCACGTGTCCGTGGCCGGCTCGCACTCCAAGGCGGCGGACTTCGCAGCCCAGAAGACCCACCAGGACCAGTACAGCTTCAATAGCGACGTGGTGGAGTGTCGCTTCTACAGGTGAGAGCGGGGAGTCAGTGGCAGGGGACTTGAAAAAGGTGGTCTAGGAGCACTGGAATGGCAGATGGGGACTGGAAGGCTGCTTCCGCCAGGAGGAAGTCACAATCCTGGCTCTGCAGCCTCCTCCATTCTTGAGGACCGAATCTGGACGTGCCCAGGGAGACACCAGGCAGAGGAGGGGTGAGCAGGCACCCACACGGTGCCATTTAGGTCTAGTGAGTACCCAGTTCCTCTGTCTGGGCACTGCCAGCCTCCCCTGACGTCTTTCCTGGATGGGGACAGAGGCTTGGGGCCTGGCTAGACCCACTGTCCTCACTGCTATGTGACCTTGGGCATCTCACTTCTCTTCTCTGGGCCTTATTCATCCCTTGGAGAATATTGGCATCTGCCTGTCAAAGCCCCAGTGGTCACGGCCCCTGCCCCAGGGAATGGGGAGTCCATGCACCTAGACACGTGGTCTCTGCGCGCTGAGCCCAAGTCAGCTGCTCGGACTTCTCAGACTGGAGGCCACAGTGAGGCAGGGCACTTCCTCCTGAGCGACTAGAGTTTTCAGAAGCCCACGCACATGGAGCTCACTCCAGGCGGACACAATGAAGGCCACGTGATTAGGTTCCAAAGCCATGGGTGCAGTTCATGGCTTTTATAGTAAGAAGATTAAAAGGAAAATAAAATTTTGTTTTGAAAACGAAAAGGAGAAACTCCTTATACAAAGGAGCTCCCCTCCAGCTTCCCTGCCAGGTCAGTACCCAGAGCGTGGGCTTTGGAGCCAGCCTGCAGCCAGTCCTTGTCCTGCCCACTCGCATGTGACACTGGGCAATCTAGAGGCAGTGACTGAATGGGGAAAATACCACCCAACTAACGCGTCTCTCTCCCCTCCAGTCTGCACCTGGTGCACGCTCCCCCACTCCATCCTGATTTCAAGCGGGCCCTCAGGGACCTGCCCCCCCACTTCAACGCCTCCACTGAGCCCTACTACCACAGGCTCATCTCCAACTACGGCACCCACTTCATGCGGTCCATGGAGCTGGGTGGCCGGATCTCAGACCTCACCGCCCTGCGCACCTGCGAGCTGGCCCTGGAAGGGCTCACAGCTGACGAGGTCGGGGACTGCCTGGCCGTGGAGGCTGAGGTCAGCATAGGCGGCCGCGCCAGTGCCTCCGCCGAGTCCAAAGCCTGCGAGGAGAAGAAGAAGCGGCACAAGCTGACCACCTCCTTCCACCAGGCCTACCGAGAGCGCCGCTCCGAGACGGTCGGCGGCCACCACTCCACCTTTCAGGACCTGCTGTTCGGGAACCAGGCTGGGCCTGAGCAGTTCTCAGCCTGGGTGGCTTCGCTGTTTGACAGGCCCGGCCTGGTGGACTACAGCCTGGAACCTCTGCATGTGCTCCTAGAGAAGCAGGACCCACGGAGGGAGGCGCTGAGGCAGGCTGTGAGCAAGTACGTGACAGACAGGGCACGCTGGAGGGACTGCAACCGGCCCTGCCCACCAGGCCAGCAGAAGAGCTCCCGAGACCCGTGCCAGTGTGTGTGCCACGGCTCGGCGGTCACCACCCAATGCTGCCCGCGGCAGAGGGGCCTGGCTCGACTGGAGGTGATGAAATTCCAGGCAGCAGGTCTGAAGGGAGACTGGTTCACTGCCTCGGACGCCTACGTGAAGGTCTTCTTTGGTGGCCAGCAGCTGAGGACAGGCACCGTGTGGAACAATAACCACCCCCGGTGGACAGCACGGCTGGACTTTGGGGACGTGGTCCTGGCAACAGGGGGGCCCCTGAGGGTACAGGTCTGGGATGCAGACAACGGCTGGGATGATGACCTCCTTGGCACCTGCGACCAGACTCCAAAGTCTGGCCCCCATGAGGTGAAATGCCACCTGAACCATGGTTACCTGCAATTCTTCTACCAGGCCAAGTGCCTGCCCCACCTGACAGGGCCAACCTGCATGGAGTATATCCCCCAAGGGCTTCTGGGGGAGCCTCCAGGAAACCGGAGCGGGGCTGTGTGGTAGGAACAGTGAGCTCTAGCAAGCGAGCATGCTCAAACTCATATTCCCACTGGACAGTCGGAAAACTGACGCTTCAACCTTTTTACTGGGGTGGCAGACTTTATAGGCCAAGTCTCTCTGTCCAACTGCCTTAGCCCTCTAATACTCTCGAGCCCTACCCACAGCAAAGCTCCAGCCAGCAGCTGGTGCACAGAGCGGAGCACAAGTCTTGTAAGACCTTCCCTCACAGTCCTCCCGCACAGCTAGTCCTTCATCGTATTCAGTCTAAGCCCTCCTGCCCCATCTGCTCCGTTCGCCCTCTTCTCTGCCCACCATCCTTGCTGCTCAGATAAATCCAGGGTTGTCTTGACCTGTTCACTGTGTACATGGCTTGATGGGGAGTCAATAGTCAATAAATATGATGCAATGTGGACCATGCTGTGGAGTTGTGCCAGAGAGGAGGGGGACGATGCACCCCAGAGATAAGTGACCCACAGAAAGCAGGCAGGCAGGTCAGGTAAGTTAAAAAACAAGAAGGGGGGAAAAACTTTAAATAAACTGTTCTCACTTTTTTTTTTTTTAGTAATAGTACACCTACATTGGAACCAGCAGTTAGCGTAATCGCTCTGTCACTGGATTCCCATGTAGTCGACCGCAGTTCGCATCCTGGACCCGGTGGCTTAAAAAAACTCATTCCAGGCG